AAAGCTGAAACTTTTGTAGAAATATTCTGGTGTAGTGTGGAATCTAAATTATAAACTTACATGGGGGCATTCTGGGATAGTGTAGATTATAAATTGTTCAAATAATGACCCCTAGCGGTAGGACAGGGCCACAATAGGGAATCCAATTTTAACATTTAAATATAGGGGAAAAACTTTTAAGATTTTCACAAGAACCACTGGGCCAGAAAGCTGAAACCTATGTGGTAGCATCCTGGGATAGTGTAGATTCTAATTTGTTCAATCATGACTTCTAGGGATAGGGCAGGGTTTCAATAGGTCTTACATATTGGGAAATCTGTTAAAGATCAGTTACCTAGGTGAGCGATGTGGCCTATGGTCCTTTTGTTTAAAAATTGCTGGAACGATAAATCCCTGTCAGATGAAAGCTATCATTAGAATTTTTAATTTCATAATGAAGACGATTTTCTTTTTATTTAAATAATATAAGCTGAAGAGATGTATGTTTTGTAACAATGCTGAACAATAATATATTCTTTATTTTTTTTAAACAGAACAGAGTAACAAGATAAATGGAGGCTACCTGTACATGTATACAGTTTTTACCAGATACAAGAAATCAGTGTGGTAAAGGTATACAATTCTCTGTTACTATATTTATAAACATGTCACAACACACTGTAGACCATACCTACCTATTTATTGTGTCACCATCACGAAAATTTACATTTAATACTGCTCATTGACAATGTTGTAAGTCTACGCAGGTACGATAAGGCTTCCCAGAGAATATTGTAGTGTACTCTCCGCATGAACTTCTCTGAACTACAAATGTATGACGTCATAATTGAAAATGACGTAAAGTCGCTGCATACTTGAGCTGTAATAATAGGGAGAGTGTCATAAACTTTACACCTCATTTCAATCTGCATATAAAATTGCAGAATGCTAGTTTAAAAGAAAGTTGTTTTTATGATTTTTTTTAAAAGTGGAATATATCCGAATAATTAAGATAGCTTTGCTTCATTACTCTTGTATAAGAGTCGGTGTGTTCAAACTACGAACGGAAATATACTTTTGACAATTACCCTTTTTTACACCCGTAAACAGAGACAGAATTCATAATATGTGTATAAAAGAGCCTTGCGCAGGTTGTTAAGGAGGATTTATCTAATATCGTTTGTGGAATATGTAAGAGGAGTTTCCCCTCTAACTGAATCCTGCTTGGGAAATATGAATGATGGCTTTGTTTTAAAACAAATGACGATATTCAGCGGAAAATACCCTCAGATTTGTCGCTAAGTTAAAGTTAATATAAAATAAATTGTCCCAAAGAAAATGTTTAAAATTTCCCAAGCACTTTTCGGTTTCACAAGTATGCACTGAGTTATTTATGTGACAAAAATATAATAATAATTGTGTTAAAAGCCTGCGCCGAAGCGATTTATGAGAAACATTTCCAAAAAGAAGAAATTACCGTCACGTGATCAAGAAGGTCATGTGACATCGTAACAAATATGTTTATAAATAGCCTAGATCATTCTCTATATGAATTTGTTGTACTGAAGTACAAAACTTACAAATAAAACTCAAAATCAACTTTGCAATGCAGTGTTACGTTATAAATACATTTTCAGCACCGGGAAGCCTTAACGGTACTGCGTATAAAGAAGACATAGTTTATCATGTTTTAGCATGCTACAGTGTGTAAATTTTAAAGTTCTTCTCTCTTCTACTAGAGATAGTTGACATTTAATATTTCAAATGAATTCATTATCCTGATATATGAAAAAAAAATGTAATGGGTATAAATGTTTTTTATATTTTTTTTCATTGAAAATGTCTTCAGTTGATAAATTATTATACTTGTAACTTGAGAAATATAAATCTTCAGTTTCAACAATGTTATTATTTATCAATATTGAATTTTAGATCAGACTTATGGTGAACAATTGGACCCTGCTAGAGATATCCTGATTTAAAAAAAAGTACTCAGTGTAAAGGTATTTGTATTTATCTTTCCCTTAACATGCTTAATACAATTTTATTCTTCATGTTATTAAGACTAAGACAGTGATATATGCTTACAGTGAGATTTGTAAAGGATTCAGTACTCAGTGTAAAGGTATTTATGTTTTTCTGTATCTTAATTCAATATAATTCTTTATGTTATTAAAACTAAGATATTGATCATGTTGATATACCAGTATGCCTACATTATATGAAGAGACGTGTAACTGATGTTTATAATTGTAGTACAATGTTGTAATTTACAGATAGACGTCTATCTGATGTAGATAATTCTGTTACACTGTTGTAATTTACAGAGAGATCTCCCTGACTGAAGAAATCAACTCTGTTATAAAACATCAGCATAAAGAAATAGAGGTCTGCTGTCAATAATGTATAGAGGAGTGTTACAGAAATCTGTCACCGTGTCTGGTGTTAGAGGGTGTAGTCACATTTCACGTGTAACATCAGACCGGGTCTGGACCAGTGATTATGGCAATCTTTTACTGACAAACACTACAGGAGAAGAACTAGATCACGTGACAGATATACGTAGTGATGTGGGAGGACACACTGTGGATTATGACGGTGATCTAATTTATATAGACAGGGAATCTAACATCACTAAACTGTCTACAGAGAACAAAGAAAAGACTACGATAATAAAGTACAACAGATCACTATGGGGACCACTGAGTGTCTACAGCTCCCCCTCCACTGGACACCTGCTGGTCGCGATGTGGAGACGTGATACACGGCCATATACAGGCAAGGTAGTGCGGTATAACTCCACAGGAGAAAACATCCAGACCATACAGTACAACAACATCACAGGTCAGGGACTGTATAAAGGACCTCTCTACATCACAGAGAACCGCAATGGAGATGTTATTGTGTCTGACTGGTTCCGTAATGCTGTAGTGGTGACAGATCGTGACGGTAATTACCGATTCTCGTACACAGGTCCTCCATCAGGATCAGGACTATGGGCACGTGGAATCTGTACTGACGCGCTGTCACACATCCTGGTCTGTGATGAGATCACCAGGTCAGTACTGATGTTAGATAGTGACGGTCACTATCTGACAGAGATAAAGACATCACAACACGGGATATACAAACCACGGGGCCTGAGTTATGATGATGACACTAATCTACTGTGGGTAGGGGAATGGAACAACAACAAAGTCATCCTATACAGAGTGGTAGATACAGACTCTCTGACTGGTAAGTAATAATGTAGTTACATGTAGTTATACTTCAGCATTTTTAATTACATGTATTTCAATTGTTTTACAATACTGTGTGTACACAATATGATAAAGACAATCTGATAATTATTGGGAAAGCCATTACTGAATCATTTCATGGATTGTTTTCAGTTTTATAATACAACATGTTTAGTTTAGTTTGATGACTATTAAGTAGACAAATAATATTTCTAAGATGGGGAGTTATGAATTATAAAGTATTTTTATAATTTTACATGTATGAATTATAACTAGATACATTATTTAAAATATTAATATATGTTCATCAGTTATAAATAATTAAAATGTGGTTGTAACGAGTGATTTGTTTCTAAAAATAACTTTACATTATATATGTAGTATGCTACTAATATGATGAATGGAAGGGTATTTAATGTGTTGGTTGAATGTTTGTTTAACTGTTTATATGTCACTAAAACTGTTAGGAAATGGAATCTAGGGATTACTCAACTATTCAATGGGTATGGTGGGGGAGGAGTGGGGGATTAGAAGATAAAGGGTATGAAAGGGGGGTATTCTAATTCTGTCTCTACAGTATTTTTTATATAGTTTTATAAACAGAAGACATGATTTTGATATACACACCAGTGACATTAACACAGATCTGTCTAGGAATGTTGTGTATTTCTGTGTTCAGTAAATCTACACTGTGTACTGGGCTGACATCGTACATGTATATTACATAAAGTGTTCACTAATGGAAGTGGTTATAACTAAGTTGCATCATCTTCCCAGAATGTTTTAGTGTAAGAATAAAAAATTAATGATTTACATAGCAGTTGACACCTTATACTTCACAACATGTAAATGTTACTTAAAAGATGTAAAAAAATTTAAAAATGTTCCTGACTAGTGTACTGTAATCAAATCTAAATATAATGTCAGCCTTACAATTGATATGGGGGAACACAAGGAAAATAAAATTATATGATAATGTTGAAATGCTAAAAATGTATGTCTTAGTATCTTGTGCATATTCCTATTTTCTTCTCAAAAGATCTCCCTCTGAAGGATTTCAAATGCAGGAAACATCCAAGCCGTCCGTTATCCCAGTTCTGTATCCCGTGTGACGTCACCTTGTGTATAATGTGCATCTTGACATCTGATCATAAAAAACATGATGTTAGAAATATTGAGAAATTATTCAGAGAAATTCACAAGGAAAAAGGTTTGTAATAATGCATGCAGAATGTGTTTTATTTTTAAAAATCTAGACATTTATTTTTGAGAGTGTAAGAGTTTATAGTTGCCAGGTGTTGTATATATGTAATAAGTGAGGCCACGCTCCTACTAACACCAGCTAGTGGATTAAACTGTTAACTCAGTCAGTAGAGCGTTGGATTTTAAATTTTAGGGTTGTAAGTTCAAGCTACAGTGTGGCCACCCCTTAGCTAATCGTTCATAAGAGTTTACCTTTCCATTAGATCAGTTGAGTCAGGTGAACTAAATATATTTCTTTTTTTGTGTATGTCCAGCGTGCCTCTTGTGCTAGCATTTGAAAATTCTTTCCTTCTCTGAAATTCTAACCAATTATGGGGCACCCTTGCTGGAAAATAGTAGAACATCTGCTGTAGAGTTGAATCCTGATAGTAAAAAATATGAAAACATTCTAAAGAAGTGTCAATGCGAGTTTATTCAACCCCTCCCACTTCGAGGGATAGATGTGGATCACTTGTATTTTTTAACTTTAAATACTTAATTAATTTCTGCTTTTTCTCCAGCCAAAACTAAAGTGAGTGTTGTGGTACATGGGACTTTCTGTTTATTTGTAGATGGAGACGCAGTTTTGATGTGCCTTTTGCTTTGCCCTTCATACAAATTAAATCTGGAAGAACAACTCTGGATAGAGAAGTATAATGCTGTTGCTAAAGTTTTCAAATTCAAGAAGATTCAGAAGCCATTTAATCTTAGCAACTTAAAGAAGTACAAACCAATACTGAGACAGGACGGAATGAATGTTGAGTTTTCTTCTGATTTCTTTAAACACACCAGTTTCCTTAGATTCACTAAAAATCCAGGTTTTGTGGATATTTTTCTGACTTCGGCAGAAAAAGACAACATCGCTGAGTACTGCAGGTCATGGGTTTATCCAAAGAAAGAGGGGGAAGTCTTTTGCTGGTTATCACCACGACACACAATACAATTGATAGAAAGACTTGGAGAGGATATTTTCATCCATCCAACATGGCAGGATACAACAATACATGAGGATGTATTTAAAAATTGTGAGTCTTTCTTTTATAACTTCCCCTATTAAGTATATACCATGTAAAATGAAGGATATGTAGATATTAAACAGTATTCAATATAAAAGATCATGAAAACATTGTGTAACTCAGCTCACTCAAAATTTGGAACCATCATGATACTCATCAACTAATCAGTATAATAATAATTAAATGGCATAATTTGACCTGTATTTAGATATCTGGATCCAAGATTCTATTTAAAGAATGTGTTAAGCTTTAGTCATTGGTGTATAAATTTCATAGATTAAATATAAATGCATATTTCAGGCTAATTGATAAACAAATACTATCAATTTTTCCAAATAACTTTTGTTAATGAAGAAAAAGTTCTTTCATATTTAATTTTGTGCATTGCCATCAACATTTTTTTTTTAGCTTGTTACTATTTTTAACTTATGACCTTGACCTCCATGTTTGACCTACTTATCAATATTATTAACTTTGCTTATAAAAAGAATACTTAAGAAAAAACAAGTGTGCATAAACTGCACCCGTTTGCAGTACAAACTAGTAGAACAGTGATACAATGATAGATGTTTTATTTTATTATAGTTGGTGTACCAATGCAGATTTTGATGAGAGGAGAAGAATCAGTGAGGAATTTCATTGAAAATCTTAAGAAAGGGGAGACGACCATGTACCACGCCTCTGGGATGATCATTGGGTGTGCAGGTAGTGGGAAGTCAACCTTACTAGAAAGACTGAAAGGCATCGACCTGAAAGAAATTCTGGAGAGTTCAAAGTCAACCAGAGGAATTGATGTCCAGGCTGACATATTTGATGTTACTGGAAAAACAATCAAGGGTATGATTTTTTAACTCTACTGGTCAGAGACCAGAAGAGCTTATGCGATAGTAAGGTGTCCGTCGTCCGTCCGTCTGTCTGTAAACAATTTTTCAAAACGCTACTCCTCCTACAGTTTTGATCTGATTTCAATATAACTTGGCACACAAGTAGACTTCACTAAGATACATGAAATATTGCATCGGAATTTGATTTCGATGAACGATGTTGCCATGGTTACTAAAAATATAATTTTCTGTGAAATTTGTTTAAAGGCTACTCCTTCTACAGTTTTGGTCTGATTCCAATATAACTTGGCACACAAGTAGACTACACTAAAATACATGAAATAGTGCATTGATTTTTTTATTTCGATGAAGATGTTGCCATGGTTACTAAAAGTAGAATTTTCTGTGAAATTTCTTTAAAACACTACTTCTCCTACAGTTTTGATCTGATTCCAATATTGCTTGGCACACAAGTAGACTACACTAAGATACAGAAAATAGTGCATCCGTTTTTGATTTCGATGAACGTTGTTGCCATGGTTACTAAAAATAGAATTTTCTGTGAAATTTCTTTAAAACGCTACTCCCCCTACAGTTGTGATCTGATTTTAATATAACTTGGCACACAGGAAGACTACACTAAGATACATAAAATAGTGCATCCGTTTTTGATTTCGATGAACGGTGTTGCCATGGTTACTAAAAATAGAATTTTCTTTGAAATTTCTTTAAAACGCTACTCATCCTACAGTTGTTATCTGATTTCAATATAACTTGGCACACAGGTAGACTACACTAAGATACATAAAATAGTGCATCAGTTTTTGATTTCGATGAACGTTGTTGCCATGGTTAATTAAAAAATAAACTTTTCAATTAAATTCTTTTTAATGCTACTCCTTCTACAGTTTTGGTCTGACGGCAATGGTTTCTTTTTTCATCCTTTGCTATAAGTACAAACCAGTAGAGCTACAGTCTTAACAGAGACTTCTGGTTAACTCTACTGATCAGAGACCAGAAGAGCTTATGCGATAGTAATGCGTCCGGCGTCCGTCTATCTGTCCATCTGTCTGTAAACAATTTTTCAAAATGCTACTCTTCTTACAGTTTTGGTCTGTCATTTCAATAGGCTAATTGTATTCGGCGCGTCGGCGCGCCAGCGCGTCCATCTCATCCCATTATCACACAAGTATTTTCTCCCTGCATTAAAACACTCAAATGACAGCGATTTTATTTATAATTTAAGCATTATTGGTTATATTAAAGTCGAAACCCCAAGCCCGATTGTATTTTTTTGGTTAGGTGGATCCAGAAAATTTTTTCTTTAGAAGGTGGTGGCTCAAATCGGAAGGGGAAAAGGATTTGAAACATAGTTTTAGTAATTTTACTATGTCAATTTAAAAAAAAATAAATTTTCCAGGGATCCGGATCCCCTTTGATCCATGCATGTCTAACCACGATTTGTGCAAGTGTAATCCGAAATTTAGTGCTTTTTTTTCAGTTAACCTATTCTCTCTTTTCTCTCTCTCGACATACATATTATATATTAATAGTTATATCTCCAAAATTAAAATATAGCAGTAAAAACATTTAGTGCTTTTGTTGTTATAAATCAACTTTATACATAACACATAGGCATCGGAATCGGGGGGGGGGGGGGGGTGGCGTATAAATATTGACAACATATAGGTATTAAACATTGGGGCGTAGGTTCATTTAGTCCCCCCCTCCCTTAACTCTTATCAGGCAAGGCAGTGTAGTCCTAAAAGAAAGGTGATTGGTAGTGTAAGTGGTAATGTTCATTGGCGTCGGAAGCAAATTGAAAGGGGGGGGGCTAAGTGTAAAAAAAAAAATTTAAACCTTCTCAAAAAACCTGACAAGCCAAAAAAAAAAAAAAAAAAAACGAAGGAAATGTCAATTTCCCAAACACGAAAATCCTATTTTCGAAACACCACATTTTCCTCATTTCTTACCTATACTGCGACGTGTCTGTAGAAAGGGGGGTGGGTGGGGCTAAACCTATGTCTATACTATATATCTTTGGAAAAAAAGTGGGGAGGGGGGGCGGGGCTAAGTCTATGCTAAGTATATATTTGGGAAAAAAGTGGGCCCCCCGGTTCCGACGCCTATGATGTTTGAAAGAAAAAATTGGTACTGAAAGAAGTTCGCCCCCCCCCCTTCACGAAATAGGATTTTCTTGTTTGGACAATAGACACATTTTACATTTTTTATTTGGGGGGGGGGGTTCCTTGCTTAGATTTTTCAGGTTCGAAATTTATTTTTTTTCTTTCACTTAACCCCCCCCCCTTTCAATTTGCTTCCGACGCCAATGTAACAAATTAAAATTACCAGTATTACATTATGACCCTATATTCTAGAGTTTAACCTCCTTTTAAAGACTTGATTTTCATGGTAATATGCTAACCTATATTGGTATATTAAGTGTTTGAACAAGATGCCTTTTTAATATTAAAAATATACTATTCAAGATTAACTTGTCCTTATTAGAGGATGGGGAGTAACTTTAGTTACAGAAACGGTTTTGCTATTAATAGCCCTTTTAAACAAACTTTAGTTCAGAAAAATACTTTAACATTTATAAAAAATAATAGAACAGAAAAAAAGTCTTACTTTTTTAGCATATCATTCTAAGGTTATGGTGATCAAAACAATCTTACCTTTTTGACTCTGTAGAATCTTTTTCATTTAATTCTCACATCTTTCTTATGAAGCATAAATGAACATAATTTGAAAAAGTTGTGAAGTATCAAACATTAAATTTTATTGAAACTCGTCAAAACCAACTCCTATGGATACTTTCAGTACTTTGATTAGTATAGGAATATCGAGTGAAATATAGAGCCCGATGTTGACAAATATTGTATAAGCGATAAATTTTATATACGAAATCTGTTGCGCGAGCGCGCCGACGCGCCGAATACAATTAGCCTTTCAATATAACTTGGCACACAAGTAGACTACACTGAGATGCATATTCCTGTTTATCACTTTTTTTTATTTTGATGAACATTATTGCCTTGGTTACTAAAAATAGAAATTTCTGTAAAATACTCTCAAAATGCTACCCCAAATACAGTTTCTGAGACTAGTTTGAAGGGACTTAATTAAGCAAGGATCATTATTCTATTTATCAGTCAGGGGCATAAATTAAACAAGTTATTTTCAAAAATAACTCAAATGAGTTATTTTTTTGTCTCAATGAGTTACTTCTCTTTGCTATGACCTACTTTTTCCCAACCTTAATAACTCAAACACGTTATTTTTCCAAAAAAGCTTTAATAAATAAATAACTTATTTAAGTTTTTTTTAGCTCACCTGAGCAGAAGGCTCAAGGAAGCTTTTCTGATCAAATTTTGTCTGTTGTCTGTCGTCGTTGTCGTCGTAAACTTTTCACATTTTCATCTTCTTCTCAAGAACCACTGGGCCAATTTCAACCAAATTTGGCACAAAGTATCCTTGGATGAAGGAGATTCAAGTTTGTTCAAATGAAGGGCCATGCCCTTTTCCAGGGGGAGATAATCATGAATTTGTTTAAAATTGATGGAATTTTCAAAAAATCTTCTTCTCCAGAACCGTTGGGCCAAGAAAGATGAAACTCATGTGGAATCATCCTCAGGTAGTATGGATTCAAATTTGTTCAAATCATGATCCCCGGGGCTAGGGTGGGGCCAAAATGGCCGACCCAAGTTTTACATAGGAATATATAGGAACATTCTTTAAAAAAAATCTTCTTCTCCATAACCACTGGGCCAGGAAAAATGAAACTCATGTGGAATCATCCTCAGGTAGTGTAGATTTAAATTTGTTCAAATAATGACCCCCGGGGCAAGGGTGGGGCCAAAATGGCCGACCCCAGTTTTACATAGGAATATAATGAAAAATCTTAAAATATCTTCATCTCCAGAACCACTAGGACAGGAAAGATGAAACTCATGTGGAATCATCCTCAGGTAGTGTAGATTCAAGTTTGTTCAAATCATGACCCCTGGGGCAAGAGTGGGGCCAAAATGGCCTACCCAAGTTTTACATAGGAATATATACAATATAGGAAAAATCTTTAAAAATCTTCTTCTCCAGAACCACTGGGCCAGGAAAGATGAAACTCATGTGGAATCATCCTCAGGTAGTTTAAATTCTAGTTTGTTCAAATCATGACCCCCAGGGCAAGGGTGGGGCCAGAATGACCGACCCTAGTTTTACATAGGAATATTATAAAAAATCTTTAAATATCTTCTTCTCCAGAACCACTAGTACTGGGACAGGAAAGATGAAACTCATGTGGAATCATCCTCAGGTAGTGTAGATTCAAGTTTGTTCAAATCATGACCCCTGGGGCAAGGGTGGGGCCAAAATGGCCAACCCAAGTTTTACATAGGGATATATAGGGAAACCTTTTAAAATCTTCTTTACAAGTACTTCAAAGCTATGATCAGTGATATCTATATGGAATCATCCTCAGGTAGTGTAGATTTTAGTTTGTTCAAATGATGAACGCCTGGAGGGGGGGGGGGGGCTGGGTGGGAGTAAATTCAAGCCTGATGTGCTCAGGTGAGCGCTGTGGCCCCTGGGCCTCTTGTTTGTCATTCCTCCCTAACTTCACACCCCGTGCACCAAAGGATTTTGCTCGTGCACCAAGACAAAAACAAATGTTTGATTAAATATAAACCTTGCTCAATGCAGAAAAAGTGTCCAAAGTCTTGGGAAAAGTGGGGAATTTTTTATTCAGTGATTAAATTTGGACATATACACCATGGGATAAAACCACAAGATATGGAGTAAAATGCTGTTTATCTCCACCTCCTCACCAATTCTCCATTGGAGTCGGTGAACTTTATCTAGTATTACATAATGGAATCCCAAAATGCAATGCAAATTGGCAGGAAACACGGAATTTCCAAAAATCAATGTTCAAGTAGGATATAAAAATAACTTATTCAAGTTATTTTTTTTAAAAAAAATTGTGCGTGTGAAATAATGTAAAATAACTCATTT